ATTCATTCTCATTAAATTGACAATCAGCAAAACGAGCCGTAAAAATATCTCCAGTTTTTGGCTCAAGGTATCGTATAATGGATGGTGAGTCATACCCAACATATATTCCAAGCCTTCTTTGTGGTCCCATTTTTGTACGCTGTGGTGGGGAAATCGGTACATATACTGCGCATCCGAATATTCTGAGATGCGATATATTAGGTTCTTGACCAAATGCTAATTGCAATGGAGAATACTTGTGATATGCACTTGGTCTAATACGAATTAATGTTGCAGCATGCAAAATGGCATGACCCCACACAGAAATGGGAAGTTTCGTTTTCATTATCAATGGTCTAGCAATAAGCTGGAGTCGTTTGATTAATGACTCTGCCAATCCATTCTGTGTATGAACGTGTGCAACTGGGTGTTCAACATTAATACCCATTGCTACACAGTAATCATTAAATGCTTGTGATGTAAATTCTCCAGCATTTGTTTGGATGATCATGTGTTCCCCCTCTATTATTGTTATGGTTTTGGAATGAGATTCCTCGACCACCTCCTCTATTCCAACTTCGGCTAACGCCACGACCTCGTCCTCGGCCTCGACCTCGACCTCGGCCTCTACCTTGAAAATAACCACGTCCTCGGTTATTATAAAATATAACATTCTCTCCAGGGAATGATATATTTTCTGTAACATTTACTTCAGGAAATGGTACAGAACCTGTCGGCCGAGATGCATGATTTTTCATCAGTAATTCATTATTCTGCTCGGCCAATAGAAGACATGAGAGAAACTCTGAGTATTTTGTATACCCCTTTTCTCGATACTGTTGTTGGAGGATAATGTTCGAGGCGTGCATAGTTGAAAAGGTTTTTTCCAACATCTCATTTTCGCTAACTGTTTCACCACATAATTTCAAAACTGATGTGATTCGGTACATCGCCGAGTTATATTCACTGACAGTTTTGAAATCTTGAAATCTGAGATGAATCCACTCATATTTTGCCTTGGGGAGGATTACCGTTTTTTGATGATCAAAACGGTCTTTTAATTTTTCCCAAAGATCCTGCATAATATTAGTGCTTTTGCTTTATTTTCAGTTGATGCACTTTTCTCTTTAATTGTGGCACCAAGACCTTTTGATTCCAAGTGCAAATCAGCATCCAATTGCCACGATAGATAATTTTTCCCCGATATGTCGAGGACCTCGAACTCGATATTAGCCATTTTTGCCATTATGATTTTGTCGTAGAAGAGCGTTCGTGCTGATAACGTGTTATGAAAAACGAAGAAATATAGAAGACCCGAGAATCATATCGTTAACTAGAAACCGAAATCGATCGTTTGAGAGACCCAGGAACAAGATTTCAATAATTTTCTTTTCTTGGAATTATGTACAAATGAAGGAGGGAAATGAACTATTTATAGAAAATCCGAAGTTACTGTTCACGTATACGTATTTATGAACAGTAACCGTATGGCGGCTAAACAGTAACCGTATGGCGGCGTGAACAGTACCCGGCTGCGTGAACAGTGTCCGGCTGCGTGAACAGTACCGTAGCTTCACTATTCATTTATAACACATAATACATATTTAGTACTAATCAGTCAACTATTTCATTTTCCTAAAGTTGCCAACGATTTTATTTGGTGAAAATCTTAATCATGCATATATTTTGTGGAAAAAGTTTGTAGCCGTTATTAATTCACGGGAGAAACAAATGAAAAGAGGCCACACCTACCAGACTGAAAAGGCCCACGTGACAACATAAACGGTTGGGCTTATTCCCTCACGTTTTAGTTTTACTCATCTGCCCCCTCCTTCCCACCTACTTTTGATAATCTTATTTACTCTTATTATAATACAATATATATATACACACTAAAATATTATTTTTTTGTTAAAAATAATTATATTATATATGATAATATTTTGCATGGTAAATATTTATTAATTTATATAGATTAGATAATATAATTGTTTATATGCGGCGGTATTACCGTATGCAAAAGTAAAATAATTCAGGCGGCATTGTCGTCCATAAAGATAAAACAATTTAGGCGGTACGACCGTCCATAAATAACACAATATTTCAAATTAATAATTAAGGCGGCTCAGCCGTCCAATAGTAATAAATAATTAAGGCGGCTTAGCCGTCCATTAATTTAAACAATAATTAACTGATATTTATATATAGCTTGGGGTTAATTCTATTCAAGCATCAATTAATATGTGTATATATCATTAGAGCGAATATATAATATTACCTTTGTCGTAGAAGAGCGTTCGTGCTGATAACGTGTTATGAAAAACGAAGAAATATAGAAGACCCGAGAATCAGATCGTTAACTAGAAACCGAAATCGATCGTTTGAGAGACCTAGGAACAAGATTTCAATAATTTTCTTTTTTTGGAATTATATACAAATGAAGGAGGGAAATGAGCTATTTATAGAAAATCCGAAGTTACTGTTCACGTATACGTATTCATGAACAGTAACCGTATGGCGGCTAAACAGTAACCGTATGGCGGCGTGAACAGTACCCGGCTGCGTGAACAGTGTCCGGCTGCGTGAACAGTATCCGGCTGCGTGAACAGTGCCGTAGCTTCACTATTCATTTATAACAAAATACAAGTATAACGGTCCACGGTCGAATTTTCTCGTGCGGTGATGTGATTATCTAAACGTCTCAAGGTCAACGTTGACCAGAGGGCGAAGATAAGAGCGAACTCACTTTGCCACGTCCTCGACAAAAATTATACATTTACAACTTTTCACGAGTTGACTCGGCCCATCTCCACCCACTCCCCAATTGCGTTACTTTACACTATTTTGCAAATGGAAGTGTGTGTGTATATATATATCAGTGGATGTATATATATCAATGGATATGTGTAGTATATATATATATATATATATCAATGGATTCTGCAATCTATTCTTACTATTCATTCTCCCACGAGATTTTTTTTATATCTTTTTTATCGAAAGATTTTTATTTATTTTTATAAGTATGAGATATTTCACAATATATATGTTTTCTACCAAAAGAGCATATATATTTATGTGTGTTTGTATAGATATTTTTAAGGGAAAACGCATATAAATACTTTTATAAAATTATCAAATAAATATCTAAACTATAAAATTTTCAGATAAATACTTGAATTTTTCAAAACTTTCACATAAATATCCAAACTTTTAAAAATTTACCAAATAAAACCAAAATCTATTAACGGCGTTAAACTTATAACGGAATCCGTCGATAATTTATAACTTAACCATCAACGAATATTGTTTTATTTGGTAAATTTTTAAGAGTTAGGGTATTTATGTAAAAATTTTGAAACGTTCATATATTCATCCGAAAATTTTATAGTTCAGATATTTATTTAGAAATTTTGTAAAAATTTAGGTATTTATGTAAGATTTTTTTATATTTTTATGATATCGAAATATCAAACTTTTTACGGCAATAAATCTATTTTAGCGATAGCCAGTCTAATATGACCATTGTAACAAAGGAGAACAAATTCTTATATATATATATATATATATATATATATATATGTATGTATGTATGTATGTATATACTGAGCGTGGCATTTAGCATACGAGAAGAAGATTCCATCTTCTCTCTCTCCATGCAAAAGTTGCATGAACTAGTTGCCATAATCAACTTGGAATTTAATAGACTGCTTCTATGCACAAACAATATCTAACCAAATGACCCGAATCTTTAAAAAAAAAAATTCAATTAAATTATAGTATGCCCTTATACACAAAATCAATATTAATGATATTATGGAGACAAAAAAAAAGATTGAAAACATACATATGAAAATTTCATATATTAACACCATAACACATATAAGTTATGTTTTTATATGTTAGATACATGCAATAATTGTTCAAATTAATAAAAAGTTTTATACATAAGATGCAAATTAATAAAAAATATTATATGCGCTTATATATATGGAAATTGTTTTATAAATTTAAAAGGGAAATTAAACAAAGATGCAGAGAATAGACTAGAAAACTGTCATGTGATAAAAAATAGCCAAAGTGGAGAGCATCATCATAGAATGCATATGTATACATATACACATATATATATATACATACATACATATGTATGTATAGTGAGTGTGTGTGTGTTAGATGTGAGAACAAGTGGAGAAAACTATTGTTATGACAATGGAATCCATTAGCAATGATGATTTGTATCAAAGTGGAGGCTCTTTATTTCTTATATATTTTTTTTTATATTACCACTTTTCCTAAATATTTTTTTTTAAAAAAAATTGGGAGGTCATTTTGGACGGAGAATAAGAAAGAGAAATTTTTTGTTTAATTATTAAAATATATTTTAGTGGAAATTCTTTGCTCCACCACTTACTTACACTTGGTTGTTGTGTTGTGGATTGCCATATTCCTCGTGTCGAATACATCAATTCGATTATATTTTACAAAAAAATAAATTATATTCTAATTAAGTTTGAATTGTTTTTTGCTTAGATTCATTTACTTGAATTTAGTTTGGTTTCAATTTTTTTTTGTCTAAATTCTGTTTGGATTCAAATCTGGTTTAGACTGTTTTCGAACTTGATTTCTGTATTAAATTTGATTTTTTATATTAGATTTGAATTAGCTTTTATATATTTTTTTGTAATTGGGTTTTTATATATTCCTATATTAAGTTTGGTTCGAATATAATTTTATATGTTTAATCGAACCCGTATAACAACTTTAACTAAAATTCATACTATGTGACATCCTCATATATATATATACATATATATATAATACCAAATATCCGGATATACCAATTTATAATATCTTTACAAATTTCTCTAAGGACAAAGGAACACTAACTTCTTAAGGTTTATTTTAATTAAAAGATTTTAAAAAAAAAACTCGAATAAAATTTGTCCATGAATGGTAATGGGAGCTAATCAAACGACAACCTCGGATGAACTCTTTGATCACTCATGTCCTTTCACGACTTAGCAAAACTATAATTTATTCGCCAAAGTACAACAACGGTTGTGTATAAATATCATATCTATATACATTAAAAAAATAATGATTTTGAATCCTGAATAGTAATGAAGATGATGAACAAGAAAACTTGAAGAACAGGCTGTGAGGTTAAAAAAAAAAAAACTGGAAAATGTGTGGTAGAGAATGAAAATGGCTGTAATGGAGAGCCCATGAAGAAGAAGAAGAAGAAACCCTAGAAAAAATTGGTAGGGTTTCCTTCCTTCATGAGCCTTTGAATGGAATCTCACAATAATGTAGAAGGCAATGAAGCTTTCCTGTGCCTCGAACTCGATCTCCGATCTCTCCCACGCCTCCTAACGGGAGTCGTGTTCACGATCCTTTCCCTTACTCGGCTTCCGTATGACAATTTCCGGGGCAAGTCGCCGTTCAAAGGCGGTGGAGGAGGATTATTCGCCACGGGAGCTCGTCTCCTCGCCAACATCTCTTGCTCCGCTCGGTGATATCTCTGCAGTCAAACGGATGAAACGGTAATATTAATGATACCTAACGGAAATTAACACGAATATGTATCGAACTCGCAAGGCATGATCATGCAGAGATTCACTAAATTTGGGATCTGATGCAAAAAGGGCTTGGAAGTGGTAAGAACCGACACAAAGTTTGAGCCTTTATAACCAGAAATGGAACAATGTGCATAAAAGGATAACCCGAATCGCAAAGTTCCGTTGGGTATCGTTAAAACGGTAATACTAGCGATACCCGACAGAAATAACCTGAATATGAATCAATCTCACCAGGCATGATCATGCAGAGCTTGACTAAATTTGGGATCTTGATGCACAAAAACTGACACAAAGTTTGAACCTTTATGGTAACTTTCCAAACCAGAAACAAACCATGGGCATAAAAGATTCACCTGAATCAAAACTTTATGAACCACAAATTTCCTTTGGGTATCAATAAAAGGGTAATATTAACAATACCCAACGGAAATAACCCGAATATGTATCGACCCTTTTAACGATACCTAACAGAAATAAACCGAATATGTATCATCTCACTAGACATGATCATGCAGAGGTTCAGTAAATTTGGGATCTGATGCAAAATAAGGCTTGGAAGTGGTAAAAACTGACAAAACTTGAGGATTTATGGCACCTTTCCAAATCAGAAACGAAACTATGTGCATAAAAGAATCACCTGAATCACAAAGTTCCGTCTTTCGCAGTCCAGGAACATATTGAGGGTCCAGTTCGTTTTGGCGGAAATCTTATCTCTCACGGTTGAGAAACTGATTTGATCTCGGGAAGTGAAACGGTCCACTTCATTGAACCAGAGGCAAGTAAATAGGTTACTGATGGGAACATGCTCTCTTATAATGACACAGCCTTCTGGAACATCTGTGCACAGCCAATGGGTATAAGATATAAGCTCTTGATTCCACAAAGGGCAATTCAAAAGACACTCAGATAACTACGGGAATGACACTTACCGCTTGTGATCGGGAGCTTTGCCACGGAATATGGGGTCAAACCTTCGTTCTTATAGAAATTCACTTGGAAGTCGATAGAAGCGTTGTCATATTTACCAGCGGCTTTATTTGCTTCAGCTTCAACCAGTACATCAAACCGTCTGTAATGTCTCGATATTGCAAAGGTGGCATTTTTCCTCCATAAGAACCTGAAAAAAGCGACGTTGGATTATCGAGGCATAGACCCATTCGAATCTTATAAGAAAGCTTAAAACTTTTAAAGTTTTACATGATTAACCATCATACAATAAGAGAGCTCAAACCATAAGCACATACAATTAGGATGAACTAGTTTCTATCTAAAAGAAAAAAAAAAGCATAAACCCTACATTAGATATCACATTAAAGACTAGTGATATCATTGAGGTAGAAAATCTCAAGAGAAAAGCAAGATATATATGAAAACAATATACCTCTCAAGGATTTGATACGGATCTACAACCAGCTCAAGCTTCCCGTCAATCCATATCGAGAAGCGAGCATTTGGGAATAGCCTATGCACCAGAAGCTTCGGCACCTGTCCATGAACGGAGCTTCGGTAAATATTATAACTCAAATCTATCTAATTTAGGTAATCAGTATACTTGAAATTTCTTCTTTCGCTTTTCTATCTAAGAACAGGTTCCCACTCTCCTATACTTACAAAATGGATAAGCACTTCGACCCGACACAAGCCATTCTTTCAGAAGAGAGGTCCATAAATAAGACCAATAATCACAGTGTGATGACAATACGACATACCTTTCCATTGCGTCGTCCATCTGAATAAGGAAGATTTTGAACAACAACAATTCTCCAGATCCCTATTTTCTTGGTGCTGTTAAGGCCTCGTTCTCTCTTCAGAAATTCACGAGTTTCTTCATCGACAAACATGTAGAAACATGCTGTTTCTTCGGATTGCTTACTGATATTTTGTGGTTCTTTTACATCGTCAAAAGCGCCTGAAAAGAAGAGGAGATTTCTTCACGACACCATAACGAAGGGCAACAAAGCTTACTGGAGAGAAAAAGCATCTTTTCAAACTCTACCAAATACAGCTGAAGCAACAACTATCCCGCGGCACTGCTCCATCTCAAGAAGGTCAGCCTCGTCAATGTCGAATCCAGTTCCACGTCCAGGTTGAGGTCCTTTGACAAATCTAGCAGAGATTTTATGAATAAAATTGTGAAATTTACAAAGATGAATACCGTTTAAGCATCTAACAGTCAAAAGCTGGCATGCAGACAAATCGGAACAGAACAAAAGGACACTTACCCACAGTGTACGCTCATTGTTTCTTTAATGTCAAAAGAATCGTTCCTCTGCTTCAACGTAGGATAACCACCAAATTCAGACCCTCCAAACTCTGTTTCTTTGTTTATCGGTTGCTCATATATATAACTTAAGCTCTTAAGAACAGGGGAAAATGACGGAACTTTTGGCATCAAGGCAACCGCTTCTTCTACCGGAAGGTAACAGACTGGGCATGCTGAAATCAACACAAGATATACCAGAGCAATACAAGCTTACCCACCATCTTGAAAAAGTATAGTAAAGCTCGGAGCTTTCTAACATCAAAACAAGACGAATCTTGTAGTGATCACAAAAAAGAACAAAAATGATACAGAAAAGTAACAAAATGGAAAGGAGACCAAAAGAAATCATGAATTAAATCTTACGCCGTGGTCCGGTTCTTTTTTTGTCTGCTGGTGGGGGAGGTAATGTGAAACTGTTACATGGATGTCCTTGTGGAAGTGTATAGCCAAGAAAATACGAAGGAGGAGGAGGAGGGAATACGGATATGTCTACCACAGAGGATAGATTTCGGTTATAGCTGCTTTGCTGAGAGTCAAGGTCATTTACAGTCGAGTTTCCGTTCAATTGCAAGCTCTGAGGTCCTTGAACTTCTTGAGCATCTTCACCTGTAAAATCAAATAACGACCATATGACGCCAAATCAATCAGCAGGACTCAAAACCCTAAACAG